TTACTCTCCAACATTGAGGAAATTGACCACTTACCCATGCTTATAGACGGCCAACTGATTTCCACTGTGCCTTTGTGCCACGCTACTGAATACGAGTAGAGGGTCTCTTGTCTGTACAAATTTGCATTTGAAGCTGTCACTTTGGTACAGAATTACGATCCCATAGGGAATATATTTGTTCCGTATTCATGCCACTTCACAATCAATCCATAGCACCCACAGACTTAACTACATCCAAACATCAGACTTAAGAGAAATATGATCGGAAATCGAATCAAGCATATAGTCGCTGTGCCCTTATACCGTGCCACTAGAGCCGCTTGGCCGGCATGAGGCTATTGAAGGGATGCAATTTACTTAGGCCGTATTGGGTATTCACGAATTTAGAACTTTAAAGTGTCTTGTACTCTTATCAGACTATTCGATTTACTACACCTTATCTCTCCTGAGACGTACATTGTTGCCTTTTCTCGTTAGTAAATACATACATATTGACTCATGATAAATTGGATTAAACATTATGTCATCAAAGCTCTCGAGTGAGAAGCCATCTCAGCGCTGAGATTGTCCATTCGTCCGTTTTGAACGGTTCGCACTTGGTCCCGACCAAATCCAAACCTTCGATGCGCATGGCCGAGCATGGCGCCTGTCAGAGACAAGAAGATGATCCATGTTTAGAAGTCCAATCCAATCGGTTATCCACTATTACTACTCGCTGCGAAGTATCCCGTGTGCCACGGTTATCGACAACTCTGTTGGTATCATAGGGTCTCTGGGGCTATTTCTGGAACCGACCCCGGGAAGAGGAACTGGATAAATACGGATGGTGGTGATATTTTATGCAAGTGTCTCCCACAGACATTGCTCTCTCGGTGTTGTGATCCCCCTTGGACATCTATCATCTCTCAAAAGACCTCAATGGCATATATTCAAGATGCATCTTATATAAGCTATATTGTCATAGCTGCGAGCGTAGTAGCCGGTACCGCGATTATCCACGGCATTGCAAACAATCCCGCTGTCAAAGCACGACGAGCTGGTGCCCAACTACCACCTGGGCCCAAACGAGACTTTCTCATAGGAAATCTCCGCAACTTTCCAAAGGACAGATGGTATGAAACATTTACACGCTGGAAAGACGAGTTTGGTGAGTGCGACTGTAGCTCGGCCCAGTTTGGTGTTTATTTTATGAAGCACCGGACGGGCTACCTCTCGGCACTATACCCCTCTGACTTACTTTATACAATAGGTGATCTCATTTATGTGAACTTAGCCGGCGTTCCAATGCTCGTTTGCAATTCGTTGGAAGCAGCCGAAGAACTGACTCTAAAGCGGATGAGCATATATTCTTCCCGACCTTATCGAACAATGACAAACGTACTGTAAGACAAAGGCTAGATATTTTTTTCGAGTACTCACATTTCTTTAGTATGTATTCGAATTGGAGTATGGTCCTCACACAACCAGGCCATGCTTTTACCGAGCAACGAAAGGTGCTTAGGAAAGCAATGGGTTCACAAGCCGCTCAAGAATATGATTGTCTCATTCAAGCAGAATGTGCGAGACTTGTCGAAGATTTTTCTGGATTTAGCGGGGAACCATTCTCTGTTGTCAGCAAGTGAGTCAAAAGCGCGTTCTACAGGCTCATTGAACCCTTAACCCACCATTCTATAGATATATAGGGGCAATAATTGTCAAATTTGGCTATGGCGAAAAGATTTATCAAGAACACGGGGAGGAGATGGTCGAACTGAACAAGGAGCGGTCTCGCCAGATCAATCTAGTCCTCCCCAAAGTCTGGCTAGTCGATATTTTTCCATTTTGTGAGCATTTACTCCCTGCAACGATATACCCTCCTTAAATGAGGTCATTTTTCCAGTGCAGTATATCCCTTCGTGGTTCCCAGGCGCCAACTTTCGCCGCGTCGGTATCGAAGGCACAAAAACAGGTACCAAGGTCCGGTTCTGGGGCTTCAACTTAGTTGAGCAGGATGTAGTAAGTGCTTACTACGGCCCATAATCCACTGTTACCGAGTCTGATACATGTCTAGGTGAATGGTGTTGCCGACGACTCGATTATCGCCAAATATATCAACGATCCCAGCGTACCAAATGAACACCTTCGTGATGCTGTAGCTATGATGTATGCCGGTAAGTAGGAACTGTTTCTCCAAATAAGACTCTACTAAAGAGTTTTATTTCACAGCGGGATCCGATACTGTAGGTACTTGTCTTGATTCCTAAACTATGCAACTGAATGGCTGTTGGTATAGAGTGCTACATCGATCGTCAATTTCTTCTTTGCGATGATATTGCATCCCGAGGTGCAAAAGAAAGTGCACGAAGAGCTGGACAGAAAGATTGGAGGGGGACGAGCGCCGGACATGAATGATATTAAGGAACTTGAATACTTTAACGCTGCTTGGAATGAGTCCATGAGGTGTAATGCTACGGTTCCATTGGGTGAGTGTCAAAGTTTGTTCCTGATTACCATACATCACGCTCATACACTTTGATAGGACTGCCTCATGTATGTAGCCAAGACGACGTGTGGCAAGGGTATTATATTCCAAAAGGCACTATCGTCCACTGTAACATTGGGTTCGTAATTTGAGCTGCTGCTTATGGTCTAAGCACTGACCAAGGAACAACCTTGTCCAGATATATTCTACGGGATCCCAAAATATGGGGCGCTGATGCTGATAAATACAATCCGAATCGGTTCTTGCCACAGTTCAATCCTCGAGTAAAGGATTTGCCAGATATGTCGAGCGTTCCGTTTGGATTTGGCCGAAGGTAGCCACACTAGTTCTCATCAGCCTCTCATTGACTCCTCGTTTTCTTACCAACAGGATATGCCCGGGCCGATTCCTCGCGGAGAGGATCACACTGATATTTGCTGCGGCAGTATTATCTGCGTATGAAATCGTGCCTGTGAAGGGGAAGACGATTGACCCATCTATGCCATTCGACGACTCTACCATCCGGTCAGTTCTTACTCTCCAACATTGAGGAAATTGACCACTTACCCATGCTTATAGACGGCCAACTGATTTCCACTGTGCCTTTGTGGCACGCTACTGAATACGGGTAGAGGGTCTCGTGTCTGTACGACCTCGCATTTGAAGCTGTCACTTTGGTACAGAATTACGATCCCATAGGGAATATATTTTTTCCGTATTGATGCTACTTCACAATCAATTCATAGCAGTCACAGATTTAACTACATCCAAACATCAGACTTAAGAGAAATATGATCGGAAATCGAATCAAGCATATAGTTGATTTCTGTAGGTTATTATGGTGGTTTGTTTCGTAAGGTTTGCACGAGACTTCAACAGACGTCAATACTTCGAGGAAATACCCCCCGAACGAGGGGACTATTCCCGACATCTGGTGAGATATTTTTACAACCTCCCAAACTTGAATTGACTATTACACTTCCATTTCTACCACTTTCGTCCGTATTTCCCTACAGTGGCTTCATTTTCGGATCAAAGAGGACGGTCGTCGCAAATACCACATGTGATTCACACCACGACAGTCTTTCGAGGCTCACTTTGACTGAAGCTGGGGTTAGAAGTTCGAGGGATATTAGCTGACTGCTTCGCAAAACTGTATTATCTTACGAGACTGTAGCTGTCCATAGGATAGCTTCCGAACGCCGCAATTCGGTTTCCGAGTCCCATGAAACCCAGATCGGGCCTTATAATCTCACTTGAGAACTTCAAGAGTCAGAATCATGTTTCCGCACATTTACTAATACTGCTTCGCTAGAGCCCCATACCCAGAAGGCCGGGGGGCGTAATGATAAAGGAGGACGTACACGGTCTATCAAAGCGGGACCTTTCTTGTCTAGTCAGTCGTTCCTTCAGAATACTCACTGTAGCGAAATGGTATCTATCACCAACCTCATTCTCGCTGCCGCTAGCATCATTGGCACTATCGCGGTCGCGGTACCAACGGGTGTCATCGAACGAACGATATATGGAAGAATTCGACCTCATCCAAGCTCGTGCTGCACCCACGGCCTCTACTGGACTCCCTATCGAGTGGCCTTACTAC